ATGTATATATATATTTCTTTTCTGATGTAGTTGTTTAATGTGTAAACTTGTTATATAACTTCTAGATTTAATTCTGCTTTGTTCACAAACATTTGTGTCTCTACTTGCCATATGTTGGGATTTGATATATGATTAAATCTGGTAAACAGAAAGATATCAATATACCTGAATACTCTGGCCTCGCCACACCTTTTGACAGTTTCCACTTATTGATAGCTATACCTATCTACTATCATATATCTACTAAGGCATATGATATAGCAGTCAGATGTTTATGAACATGTTTTCTTATTATGTGTAAAGCTTGAACTAAGTTTTAGAGCAAGGTACAATTTTAGTGGAAGAGTACTACAGTTTCAAAGTAGGATACAAAATATTTTTATTAGAGCAAGTGTTTTTGTACAACAGTTTTAGTACAAGAATTTCGCTCAAGGACTAAAAATATGATAGAACTGTCTTCAAACTTACTGTATACTTTTGCACTGTAGCCTTTGGTTGATGATAGACATTTGAGATAATCTCCGACTTATCTATTAAAATAGATGCAAAATGTTCCTATGGCAACTTTTAAGAGAAAGACCATACTATATTGTGTTATCTATTGTTCACTTTATTAGCTACACTGACTATGCTATACTATACTCTTCTATGAACATCATGAATCAATATTTAAATAGCTTGTACAATGTTTTAATGTCATTAGCTATTCTTGCCGTTCAAAGTTCAACACTACGAAACGAAAGAGACATTCTATGCAAATAAAAGTTGTAGCATTTATTGCACACGCTTGAAGAATTTGTTGGATTGATAGTTCGTCCAGTCTTCGGTTGCCTTAATTGAATACCTATGCCAAGTGCTGGCAAAAACACAAGCCCCGTGCTCGAGTCTCCTCTGTCATTCGACAGCACTCAAATGCAGCTGTGCTGAAATGCAGGGAGAAAGAGTTGGATTACAGCAGCAGTCGTCTACAAATACGTAAACGAATACAATTACCTGTAGATAGCAGACACACTCAGACACACACATGCGCATGCAAGGTGTCGTATGTATGAGTATGTGTGTGTGCTTTCTGCTCCACCCTAGAAAACCCAACCCAACCCAGCCCCAAAGCACAGCCACTTCGGTCAACGCTCATCTGTCAGCGGCAACGTTCCATTTCGAGTCTGAAGCGTCCGATTCGGACTCGGATTCCACATATGATTCTAAGCTGGAGCCAATGTGTGCATTAAATGTCAATAACCATAACTTAATTCATTTGGATTTGGTTTGTCTTTCACATGGCTGAACGTTCATCGCCCCACTATCGCACCCAAGCAGTTTGCATCGGCCACAAAGGTCAACTCGCTCTCTCTATGTGTGTGTGTCTGTTTGTGTATGCTCCCTCGCCTCGGCCCCCTTCACCCCTTCTATATCAGATAGAGGTATCGTTGGCTGGCTGCTCTCCAGGCATATTGAAATTGAATAAGCACACTGCAGTGGACTAAAATATTGACTCGACTGCAGTTTTGGGGCGAACCATAAATCACACTGATTGTCAGCACGCCTGGGTTGGGTTCTGTATCTGAAGGGGAGGGCATCAGCCGGTTCCCACTATCAAAATTCTCGACTCGAGCTATTTGATAACATTTTAGGCTAATTGTGCGTTTGCCAAAAGCCAAGGATTATAAAGCAAATTCGGAACTAATTTGTGCACAATTAAAATGCATTTAGTATTGACAGAATGTTTTCAAAGTTTGAATAAACTGTGGAGAGAAATTCTGCAGATATGATTAAGTGTACTTAGATGTTAGAATATTAAAGTATAACATGTTTGATGTTGATGGCTGAAGTCAAAGAGAGGAGCAGCATTAAGTGCATTGAATTGTGATTTTTACTTGAGCTTTTTTCTAACAGAGCTCCTCTATATGATTCTCATCGAATGTATGTAAGATTTATTCCTAGAAATAAAATATGACAATTTAAGTTACTTACTACTAAATCTCATAACGGGTGTTTTTTTCCGGGTACTACTAGCTACTGCACTATATGTATGTAATTATACACATATATATGAAATATTTCTTGCTGTTCGCCTTATGATTCTTGTTCTGCTCATTGAGCAACTCTAATAGCTGGTTGTTTGAAATTTTAAATTTAGAATCAAAACTAAGTATTCTTAGTCCGATATTTGTTATTTGCATACATTTAAAAATGATTCTTTTGATGGGAACCTTTTC